AAAAGAGGGGAGGAAGAAACCCACAGTTGCAAAATGCTCAAACATTACAACCCAGCCTTCAGAGTCTATAGAGATTGTCAATCATCCAGGTACTCATGGTTGTCCCAAAGGTGCTTTTTCTGGAGGCAACTGAAACTTTGCTTTTTTCTTTGAAGACATTTCGCTTCTCGGAGCTGAAGAAGCTTCTTGGATGAGAAGCGAAAACTCCTCAAAGAAAAAAAAACAAGAACGTTTCAGTTGCCTCCAGAAAAAGCACCTTTGGGTCAGCCTTCAAAGAATCCATGTTGCCTCCTACTCCCCCCACCTACCCAAATTCAAAATAAGTTTCATCTTTTTTCAAGTACACCCTGGGAGGTCCAGGCTTTTACCGAAATGGCAAAAGGCCGCCGCCGGTTATTCGCCCAGGCCCAACCGGAGGCCAGGTGAAGGAGCTACCTGAGAGCGGCGGCCTTTCGTTGTCGTCCCCGACGCCGCCGCTCCCTGCCGCTCCAGGGCCCGAGCCGGCGGGGGCGCGCTCAGGGGGCGCCGGATTCAAGAGGTGGGCGAAGATGGCGGCGAAAGGGTTGGCAGCGAGCGGCTCGGTGCGGTACATCTCCCAGAGTAGGTAGAGGGCAGTCAGGCGCTGCGGCGGCGTGGGCAGCAGATCCGGCTGCTGCAGCAGCAACACCAAGACGGAGCCTACGCGGAAATGCTCGGCCTTTCCGAAGTAGTGGTGGAAGGCGGTGGAGAGGCCCTCGAAGGTGCTGCCTCCGGCCTCCTCAGACACGATGCTCAGCAGGCTCGTCAGCTCCTTCGGAGAAAGGCTCATCTTTCCCGGCAGCGAGGCGATGGTCTCACTGTTGTTGTTGCTGCTGCTACTGCTGCCGCCGCCGCTGCCGCTGTTGGTACTAAAACCGGCGACGGAAGCAGCGACGGCCCCACCACCGGGAATCGAACCTGCCGCCGCTTCCACAGCACGGCCAGGCTCGGGACTGAGGCGGACCCCGCTCGCTAGCATCCAGCTCCACCCTTCCCGCTCTCAGCGGCCTTCTGCGCGCGCCCGTGCACTCGACCTACCTAGCGACTCCTCCCCTCATTATTTTGTTTTCCCTTCCCCGCGCGTGTGCCTCAACGAGCCGCTACTCTCCCCCACCAACCCGATTCTCTCTTTTTTTCCCCTTCCTTCCGCGTCCTCCGGATTTTTCCCCCTGCCGCTGCTACCGTAAAGCGACTTGTGGCATTTGAAATGATCGCTCTTTTTCAGTACTGCCGGAAAGCCAGGGAAGGAGGAGGAGGGGGATATCGATAGAACGGTGTTTCTCAAGCTTGGCAAATTTAAGATGTATGGACTTCAACTCCCAGAAATCCCTAACTAGCCATGCTGGCTGGGGATGTCCGGGATTTTGAAGTCTACACATTTTAAGTTGCCAAGGGTTATGAAACACTGCCGTATAAGAATGGAAATAGGAGCTATTTCATTAGCTGTTTAAAGACGTCATCTCAGGAAAACAAAAGGAAGAAATTGTTTTCCTTGCGTGTTGATTTTTGAAATCTGGAACGAATCCGTTGCTTTGTTAATACATTGGAAGTTTAAGTTCCAAATGGAACTTTAAATAAAAAGTAGAGAACTCAGTCGATCTCATCTTAATATTTGGAGGTAAGAATGAAGTACTTTTATTGCACCATACAATGTAAAATATGTCAGTTTAACTATTCTCTATTTGGCATCTTCCTTGATCTTGAAAAGCTAAGATGGGTCAGACCTGGTTAGTACTTTTTGGGATGGCTATGAAGAAATAAATAGGTTGTAGACTATATCTGAATATTGGGGAGGGAAACCCCAAGAAGACAATGGCAACACTACTTCAGGAGGTGTTACCAGGAAATCTACATAGAGGTATTTATAAAGTCACCAGAAGTCAAACTCAGTTCAAGGAAACTTCCCTTTATGTTAGGTCCTGTGAGGTTTAACAGAGTTTATTTCTCTGATTTCATCCTGAGTTTTTATCTTATTTTAGCCATTTATTTTAAAGCAAATCTGATGTATAGTTAAGCTGAGACAATTATTTTCATGGCTATCTGATCTGAATATATTATCTGTACATTTGATTCTCTGGAAGATTTAAACTAGTTCTGTGCTTAGTGCAAAATTAGTTCAAATCCCATAAGCATAAAATCCAAAAATAAACAACATTTGTACTTTGAATGCCTTATTTTCTCATTAATGCATTAATGAATGCATCTTCCTACTTCTGGGGTCTGGATGAAGTATGTATCCCTTCATATCTTCAGGATTTTTCCCATAATATACAACTGAAATTATTAAAATACAAATCACATTTGTCTGTTCAGAATGAGATAATTACATCTTGGCTAATAATCATTGTCACTACTATGATACAGAAGTGTAGATCTGATGGTTTTATATTGGATAAAAAATTCTGACTGAAAAAAAGTCAAATTAAAAATCACATCCATCTGCCAAGTTTAATTCATTTCAAAGACAATATAGCTTGTTTTACTTTATACTGTTAGGAAAAAAAGAAGCATATAAAATTAAACTAGAAAATTTGCTAATAATATGTGAAAGTGAACATGAAAATAAACAGGGAAACTCAAAGAAGGAAATTAAAAGACATTGTGAAACTAAATATAAAAATAAAGAGGGGAAATCAAAGTAGGGAATTTTTAAAAGACATTGTGAAACTGAATATACATTCTGGAATGGATTATCTGATAAATGTACTAGGTAGGAGTTTTTGATAGGGAAATTAACAAGAGTCTGCAGCCCAGTTGATTTAACTGCAATGCCTAGTGTGATCCTGTAAATTGGGAAGATTAAATATTGTATGTTTTTTCTATTTTTTTTACTTTCTTTTATTTACTACCACTCACTATTTGCACAATACTATTTAATCCCAAAGGGCATAGGATTCATACATTCTGGGAGATATAAAAGTTATATTTATGAAGTACTATATGTGAAGGATGCGGTGGCTCAGTGGCTTAAACCCTGAACCTGTCGATCAGAAGGTAGGCAGTTCAGTATCCCTAGTGCTGCATAACAGAAAGAGCTCCCGTTACTTGTCCCAGCTTCTGCCAACCTAGCAGTTTGAAAGCACATAAAAAAAGGCAAATAGAAAAATAGGGACCACTTTGGTAGGAAGGTAATAGCACTCCATGCACCCAGCATTTAGTGATGCCGGCCACATGATCATGGAGATGTCTTTGGACAACGCTGGCTCCTCAGTTTAGAAACAGAGATGAGCACCACCCCTAGAGCTGGAAACGGCAAGCACGCACATGCGCAGGAACCTTTACCTCAAGTACTATATCCATTTTAAAATATTTTTCAATATTTGTACTAGAATCATATTGTATAGCTGAAGAAATTAAACTTGTCTCACATGAATTTGATCATGATAGAAAACTAAAATCTCATCTAAGATGATTTTATTGATTACCAGAACCCTGAGCTATAAGCAGTGGTGGGTTGCAGGCGGTACGGGCGTACCGGTGCCTGCCCAGAGCACCGGGTACCATTCCGGTACGATGCTCCGGAGGGCCCACCCGCCCACCTGAACTCCTTATTTGAGCTCTTCAGTGCTTATGCTCACTGAGCGCACGGCGCCTGTGCAACACTGCTGAACAGCAGGAGCATCGCGGAGGCATCCCAAGACGTAAGTATGCATGAGTGTGCTGAGCGCATTCATGTGGTGCACATCAGGCCCCGTTGAAACCGTACCGGTTGCAATGGGATCCGGAACCACCACTGACTATAAGGCACCCATTTTATCTATATGAAATTTCAGTTTATTTCTCTCCAGAGTTGTCACCAGAAAATCTATAGTATATTTCCTGAAACTCATTTTATGACTGAAGCACAGCAGTGACAGAATTGATTTCAAACAGAATGGCTGTCCAAGGGAAATAGTGTAATATCTACACTGTTTAAAATGTGAATAAAGAACACATACCAATTCATAGTGTTGTAGTAAAGAAGTAGATGGATATAAACCTTCATTTTTGTTTTTAAAATAATTGATAGTATCACAAAAGAGGACTCTGTTTTCAAGTCCCTTAATTGTATACAATTATGCAAATATACAAAGTAACATTTAAAAAGTAACCATAGGTATTTCTCTGTCCTAATCTCATATGGAAACACTGCCTTCTTCCTTTATCAGCACCTAGATTTAAATATTTGCATATATATTATGAATTGCCATTTGCTAATTGATCTCAGGTTTAGATGTTACTAACCAGCTAGAGCTTCATCATTTTAATCAACTTTACAAACAGGATTAAAAAGTTTTTAAATATTTAAATTATTTAAATATATAATTTATATGCCAACCATCTTACCAAATGACTCTAGATTGCTTACAAAACTTTTAAATACATATAATATAGTGAGTTCCTTGCTTTAGCAGCATCCCACAATTTAAACCCATAATGCTACCGTTTTGAAAGAGACCATACTCAGCAACATATAGAAATTCTAACTGAATGCAACATGTTTCATAAAAGGAGTCACATAAACATAATTTAATGGAGAAAGAATGATGTCTAAACAATGGATAAGAAGATAATATTTCATGTATTTGACCATAACATTATAGGGCAAAACCCCTATGTAATCAGTTAGTGGGGTGAAGAAGATATTGGACCTATATAAACAGAGCAATATTGTGTTTCCCGAAAAATAAAACAGGGTCTTATTTTCTTTTGACCCCCTTGGCCTTATTTTCAGGGAGGTCTTATTATTTTTGAGGTGCAAGAAGCGCCAAGCGTGGTCACCTCATGGCTGCTGCTGTGTTGCAATATTTTCGGGGAGCGCTTATTTTGGGAGGAGGGCTTATTTTAGCACATGGGCTCAATAGCCCAATTGGACTTATTATCCGGGGAAGTCTTGTTTTCAGAGGAACAGGGTAGTTATGTGTCTTCTATAAAACATAATAAAATGCATTTAATACTGCAAGGGAGAAAGAAGATTACAAATTCAAAGATTAGCATTAGTTTGGGAGGAAGGGAAGCAAAGATAAGTGAGAGAGAAAGAGAAAGAAACACACTGAGAAGATTGGGAAATTGGTGGGCAAATCATTGGGATATACAGCTGAGACCATGCAGTAAGGAACAAGTACATATGCCAGTGAATACATCCCTCAAAATCATTTTTGGATTCCCCCCAGATTTTATGGTCCAGAGGACTGAAAAGGCATTAATCATTAGCAATACTTTTTTCCAGATTTCATTTTCCAAATTAACAGTCTGTCCTATGTTCCAAGGTAGAGAAATGATATAGAAGAATATGATGGTTGAAGATGTAGCATGCACTTTAAAAAGATATTTAAGAAACCAGAAGATCACATTCTTCTTATCCATTACGCAACCTTGCGTTAAAATGAATTGTATATATTATTTTGGGATTCACGTGAATTTGACATAAACATCATGAAGATACAAGGCTCGAATCCAAATTGTTGCAACTTGGCAATGCCCAAATCAGTTAGACACCAAATTTTAATTGCTATTTATCTTTATTTATTATTTATTTATGTATATGCTGTCCATCTCCCTATCCAAAGTTTATCTGAAAATTTTATTTATTTGAACAATTCACATGGTGGCCCATTTGTAAATATAGACAAGAAAGCAGCAGCAGAAAGAACAAAACCACACAATTAAGTAAAAATAAATATCAACTACAAGAACCTAAAGTCAAATGATTATGTACATACAGATGTAATCTTGTGTTTTGATCATCACTTCATGAGATAATAAATAAGTACAGTTACCACCAGACATATTTTTATATAATTCAGAGCCCCAGTTTATCATGGCTAAATTAAAATAGAGAAAGATCTGGTTGCTGCCTGTTACTATCATTCATATCATCCATAACCTGCAACTGTTAGCAACAAAATAAAGAAGTATTTTAAAGGAAAGATGAATGCAGTTGATTTCAGCAGCCAAATCTCATAATTCTATTTTATTTTGGAGATTGGCTCTACCTCCTCTGAATCACAGTTAGAGTGCCTTATCCCATAAGCAACATGAGAAA